TTTTTGACTCTTTTTTTTTTTTTTTTTTTTTGAACATTTTCAGACATTTTCAATAGTTCTATTTTCAAGAGCTAGGGCACTCACCACTCTTCAAAGTGAGACTCTCTGCGAGGTGATGCACACACACACGCACACACACACACACACATGTACACAGCAACACACACACACACACACACACACACACACACACACACACGCACACACACACACACACACACGCACATGGTTTCGTTTTTTGTTCTGACGTGTGGCTGACAGTTCTTGAAAATTGAGGGTCCTCGGGGTGCTCGGCCTTCAGCTGTGCAGGCTGGTGATTTGGGCAAACACTTTCAAGAGGAACTCTTGAAAGTTGAAACCCATTTCTGACACCTCTTGAAAGAAATTCTGGGCAAACACTTTCAAGAGGGTGTGTGGCGGTGCAGAGTCTCTTGAAAATACGTTTTGAAGAGTTGGGGGGAGAGGGGGGCCGGGGGGGCGCGCTGAGAAATGAAAACATATTAAATTAAAGAGATGGTCTTTTCCAGATTTATTTAGACGGGACAGAGAAACGGAGGACAGAAGTTAAAGAAACTTGGGAAAAAAATGAAACAAAACCAGATGTCATAAATACGACTGTGAGCCTGCTTCCTTCACTCTTTGCCCAACCTGCTCGCACAAGATTGGAGACACAGTGCTCGGAAGATTCAGGCAGAACCCGGGCGCCACGGGCCTCGCAAAAAAAGGGGGAAAAAAAAAAAAAAAAAAAGAGGAGGAGGATTCAGACGCAGAGTGCAGTGCAGATACTATGGCGCATCAACATGTTTCCACAGATTACGATTTTGGGGTTTTCAACATCGACAACTGGAGCCTTGGGCATTGGGCCCTTTCTCATTTAAAAAAAAAAAAAAAAAAAACATCGACAGCTTATGGTTCAGTTCCTGCTCAGCTGTGAACCAAGATTGGTCCGTGACTGCGCTCTCCAATGGCCTGATGGAGCGTGGGTCCCAATAGCAACGAGGATCGGATTGAATGCCTGCATCTGGACGTGTTTGTGGAGAGGTGCTGGAAATCGAGATTGAACTGCTTTTCTGCATCTCTACGTAAAACACGTCCAGATTCAGGCATCATTCAATCCGATCCTTGTTGTTAGCGGGATCTTGGCGCTGTTGAGCGAGAGCTCCGTTCAGGAAAGTTCGAGAGTTGTTCATGAGTCTTCGATGAAAGATGCCCTCTCATTTCTGGATCACTTGTCGGAGGCCGGGAATAAGGGAGCACTTTCTTTCTTTCTTTCTTCTTCTTTCCTTTTTTCCTTTTTTTTTGTTTTCCTTTCTTCTTACTTTTCTTTTTTCCTTTTCCTTTTGTTTTCCTTTCTTTTTTTTGGGAAAAAACAAGGGCCCTTTGATGAAAGACAGGGGCTTAAATCGAGTAACGCTTTACCAAATAAGGGGCCTCAGTGACTCTCCGACGTGCAAGAAGTGAACAAAAAAGGCCATGTTTCTGACCCGATGCAGTTGTAAATCAGTCACAATTCCCTTGTCTATTCTTCTGCAGGGGCTTTGGTGGTGATTTTCCATTTCCTGTGACAGCTTGAGGGCTGTTGTCAGAGGGCCGGACTTTCTGGCCCTCGGCGGTCTGTCGAATTCACTTCACCACACCACACCACACCACAACGGCATTTTGGCGTGCAGCTCGGGTTAAAAGGTTCCCGTCTTAGCCTTCCCTGGCCCACAGCGCAGCCTCCTGCTGCCTGGCGCGGGCAGAGCGAACGTGGTCACGGTCACCCTCAGGCTGAACTGCAAATGACCGGTAGTGGAAGTGACAAAGGTTCCCTTACACCAATTGTTTTCGGCGCTTTGTTCACATCATCGTGAGAGAGTGAGTGGTCGCAGTCGCTGTCGAAGCGAGCGAAGAATGAAAACGAAAAAGAGAAGAAAGAATGAAGGAAAATTTTGGAGCCGCTCATTTGCAGTTCGGGAAGCGGCCTGCCAGAGGCGGGAACTATTACCCCCGCTCTATCTTTTCCTTTTGAGTGGCGCCTTCGGGGTTGGGCTTGATAATTTCTTCTGTGGTGTCTGAAGTGAGGGGTCAGCGGGGCGTAGTAAAACTTGGACGCCCAGCTCCAGCTTCAGAGAGGGCCCATTACCTGAGTGCTCAGAGAAGTGACTGGGAGAGGGAGAGCCGCGACTCTTCCTTATTATGAAGAAGCTCCATGACTGTGTAACTTCCTGTTATGGGATTAAATCTGACCAGAGAAAGTGTCACCTCAGTGCGTGTCACTTTTCCAAGTCTTGAAAAGACTTTGAATTTTGCCCCCGTGTTTTGGCCTGCTTAGAATAGCCGTCGGTTTCTTTTCTTTCCTTTTTCTTTCCTCCTTTCCAAATAGAGACAAATTAGGAGAGGCAATTAATGGAGGCCTTGATTTAGGAGAGCATAGGTCCCTTCTCCTTTTCAGTGGCGATAAAAGACGGGGTAAGGCTGAGGCCTATTACTACATTGCTCCTTTTCGATTGGGCGGTGGATTTCGTTGTTTGATAGTCCTCTCTTTCCACTTGGAATTTTACGTGCATAGAGGGAATAGACGGAAGGGGGACTATGGCTGCTAAGGAGGGCCTAGATGAGTAGATGATAGAAGAGGCAGAGCAAATGGTATGCTATGTACCAATGCCAGGGGTAGGGCCTACCATCATGGGTGACTTTGGACTATGATGATGGGGACGGAAACTGAAAGTGACCGTGGTAGGGGGCGAGGTGGAGGAAGAGGAGATGGTCGAGGATCCGGACCTGCGCCTAGCCTCAACCGAAGCTGCTGACAGGGTGAAGAGGCGGTTACGGCGGGACCATTCTGTGTCCCAGATCAGCACCTCCATCATGCACCATCATGAGGAGTCTTCTTCCTGTACAACAAAGGGGGTTCAAATGGGAATTGGACCAGGAGCCAGGTGAAGACAGCGACGAGCGAACCCGCGTCTGGTACGGATTGTTAGGCGAGAGAAGGCGAGCGAGGGGCCGTGTGGAGGATGGGGCCGAAGCAGAGTCTGTGAGGTGTCAATGACCTGTGAGGCGGTTACGCGAAGGACGGGCGTGCAGGGTTGCAAAAGAAAGCGGGATAGGATACCAACGTCGTAGAGAGAGTCAGGCAAGTCGGTCCAGAAAGAGACGCTCGACATGGAAGGCTTGCGGCTTGACGCTCGTCTTTGTTTCTGCACAGCGCAAGCCATCTACAATCGCTACGGTCCTGGTTGCGCGGGCGTATGCGCCATTTTCCTAATATGTGGCGTGTAGCCAGCGGAACGACGGGGAAGTGAGACATCTATCTGTTTGGACAAAGAGAGTGCTAGTTGGCACATAGACATGGATGACAGAAGTCGCGCGTTCCAGTCAGTACTGCATGAGGTGGGCTCGTTGAGTCTTGCGTTCTCGTTGTAAGAAACACACTCGTAGACGTGAACACACAAGTGCTTATGCTGTCGAGAGCGGCATATTCCTGGCGGAGAACGCAAAACTCAACGAGCCCGCCTCATGCAGTGACCACGAACGCGAGACTTGTGTGTGTTCACTGCATGAGGCGGGTTTTCATACTGTCTCTATATGATATGCGCAAATGGTGCAGATCGGTGACAGTGAGATGCTCCCCTGGTAGTGAGGTGGAGCTTTCCCGATCTTCTATGGTTTTGTTCACTGTGTAATTTGTCATAAATTTGTCATAAATTTGTCATAAATTACACTATCACTGTGTACGAGGAGTTCTCACTCACTTAAGGTGTTCTCGCCTTGCTGCAAGAGTTCATCTTGGTCCATTTGCTTGCGCCACTCATGATCAGTGAGATCAGATGCACTCTTTTCAATTCTTTTGGGCATACGGCATGCCAGGGGGACAAGCGTGTCCTACTAACTCTTGCCTTTGGTAATATCCTGGTCTCGCTCTCTGTATATTCTTGCTCAACGCGCGTTTTGCTTCTCGCACTGACCGTCGTCAACGTCCTAGTACGACGTCCGTTGCTCTCTGTATATTCTTGCTCAACGCGCGTTTTGCTTCTCGCACTGACCGTCGTCAACGTCCTAGTATGATGTCCGTTCCAAGCCCGAAGTGCGGACGTTAGTACTAATTTCAATTTGTTTGTGCCATGTATGCATGATGTAAGTGGAAGGATGAGGGCTTAACGCAGATGTGGGTGAAGTTCTCAACCGCAGGGATGAAACATACTTTTTTTTTATCGAGAGTTGTAGAAACACATGTGCACGTGAAGCGTATGATGCCTGGATTAGTTTCGAGGATTGGCTTGAAGTTGATAAACTTTGTTTGCGAGGGTTCTTGCTTATCACTTACGCAAGTGACTTTCATTTCATCTAATGAATGAACTGCTCATTCCGTGCCTACGCTTTGTATGAGATCGGTTTGGTTCCTAAGCACCGACCATCGGCCCTTTCGCTTGAGTTGATATCGACTTTCGTGGCATAAAGCCGCATAGTTATATTATAATGAGCTTCTCGACCATCGTCCGACCGAAAGTACAAGAATCATGAGAACACTAATGCTTGGTCGAATATGTTTCGGTGATGAGAGAGGTGAAGTTGAACTCACATACGCGCCGATCAGGGCAAGTGTCGAGCTTACGGTAAGTTTTTGACTCTTTTTTTTTTTTTTTTTTTTTGAAAAACACGCTCCCACCGGTGTTATTGGTGCTGATAAGGGCAGTCACCACTAGCACTTAGGGAGAGGCTCCATCTATTGGTGGGGAGCATCACCTGCTGGAAACCGGGTCCAGCGTCCCATATACAGAAGTAAGTTTTTGACTCTCTGCCAGTGCCTTCCACCAAAATCTCAAATCTTGAATACGACTTAGTCATTCCTTACATTTTCACCGCACTCCTATTACAACTCCGTTCCCTGTTCAACGCGAATAGTATAACGAGGCAAATCTACACTCACGACAACGTCATTTGTGCTTTGACCATTTGAGTGCAGCGCCTCCTCATCTTGGTAATTGCTGTACTAATTGTTATAGTAATCCGAGTCTATATTATCGGAGTCTATACTATATAATAGTATATATATTTTATTTTAAGTACTGGTTTTCAAGCTCTCTTTTCTTAGTGCTATAGACAAAAGAGCTTCAAACAAATAAAATCTACAAAAGAGTAGTTCAATGCTGCAAGAACCGGGAAGTTGGAAACTCTTTTGTAGATTTTATTTGTTTCAAGCTCTCCTTTCTTAGTGCTATAGACACTCCGTCACGCTCTTCGGCTGATAATCGGGAGAGTTGGACGAGCGAAACGATGGGGGGAATTTACTCGTAAAACTCCAAGCTCGAGAGTCGAGCCTACCTTTCTTACCGGTTAAAAGTATTAGGCATTTGAAGAAAACAAAGCAAACACGTATGTAGTATGTACTATTCACTGTATTCAGTTCAAAGTTCTAGTATGTACTATTCACTGTACTCAGTTCAAAGTTCTAGTATGTACTATTCACTGTATTCAGTTCAAAGTTCTAGTATGTACTATTCACTGTATTCAGTTCAAAGTTCAAAGTTCAAAGTTCAAAGTTCAAACTTCAAACACTGATTAGCGAGACAATTTGAATGTTTCTTTCGCATGCTTAAAGGGTGATAGTGAAGTCAATTATGAAACCCTGATTGTTCTTAACCTCTGTTTCTTTACGCATGCGAAAGAAACAGAGGTAACAAAGCAATGGATCATAAGAAAACTTGGTATAAGACAATTATGAAACTATGAATAGGAGTTAAGGACAACATTGAGCCTCCTTCTGAATAAACTTTTTTAAAGTTTTTTTTCATAAATGCACTTAACAGTCAAGGATTATTGTGGGATAGTTCTCAACCCCCTGAGCAAAGCCCACAAAATCACATTGGGAGGAGGTTGGCGATATCCGTGGAACACTTCTTAGCCCGCTAAACATATTGCGGATTTGCCCTCGCAATTCCGGATTATCACAAAGCAAGGTTGACAAGTTCCATAGATTTTCGTGTTGTTCAAAAAAAAAAAAAAAAAAAAAAAAAGTTGACAAGTTTTGTAAAAAAAAAAAAGAGAGAGAGAGAAGTTCCAGAGATTTTCGTATTGTTAGGAAGTGGCTGTCAGTAAATTTGACCAGCAACAAACTTGGCCTTCAAGTTCCTTTGTGGGGTGATTATAAGTAAGCTCTGTTGAAGGAGCCAAATCCAGGTACTAAATCCTCTCGACGCTCTTGCATAGGAGCGTTTTTTTTTCCCCACTCCTGCCTGTGTTAGTGGTGCTGATAAGAGCAGACACCACTAGCACCTGGGGAGCGTCATTCCAAATTGAAGATAATTTCTGGTGAAAAAGCAGCCAGCTTATTTGGTCCTTAAAAAGCAGCTGATTGCATCGTTAAGTACCTACTTGACGGCGGGCAGTAAGGCATGAGTTTCCATTCGGGGTCTGTAATAACAACTAATAAGCCAAAAACACAGAAACCTTGTGTTCATCATGTATTGAAATTTGAAAGCGAAAGGTAATTCCTGAGCCATAAGAATGACAGGTCATGGACTGAAGGAGTTAACCCATGTGCAATATCATGTATTGAAATTTGAAAGCGAAAGGTAATTCCTACCATAAGTACCTACTACGGGTAGGCCCTGCATTGGGCCTTGCAAAAAACGGAGCAGTATAGTCCATGTGCAAGAAGGACCGAGCAGTAGAGCCCATGTGCAAGATATGAACAGCCTGGGGGGATAGTGTTTTGTTGCACACCTGTGAAGTACACAAACAGGGCTTGATTTGTGCGGTACAAATTCCTGTTCCCCCTCGAGGGCCAAAACTTAAAAAAGGGCTCGATTCCCCTCTTGCCGGGCGGCAGTACTGCGGTCCCGTCCACCATTTTTTGGCTTCCTCTACCCTTGTTTCATCAAGCGTGGATTCTTGAATACAAGCTAAAGCTTTTTGAATTTTATTATCGTGTAGGTCGGTCGGTTTTCGTTCAACTTCTTTCTCGTCGCTCATCGTTGTTCAAGTTTGTTGTTTGAACTTTGAATCGACGGACATCTGTGGCCTGTGGCTGCCTAGGTGCTATCAGTGTCCTCAGGAGCCGTTGGGAATTGTTTTTCCGGTCCTTCAGGAACCTTTAACTTGTTTGCCGCGTCAACTTGTTTGCCCCTTCGTCAACTTTCAAGTTCTGTTGCTCTTTGCTCTTTGCTCTTTGCTCTTAACAGTCACAGGGGGCTTTCAGCAGATCCGACGGGGAATTTATCAGCAAACAAGTTGAAACTTGAAAGAAAGGTGCATTCCTTGTGAGGTGCAGTCTCCACTGCTCTCCAGGCATTCAAGTTCAGCAATCACTTTCGCTGTTATCAAGATTTTCTGAGGAAGATCAGATCCAGGGTCTTTTTCATTCATGGCTGAGGTCAGAGTTGCTACTACTAAGGGAAACCAATCTTTGTTTATTGCCTCCAGTTGCTCTTTTGTTTTGTTATAAGGGTCTCGTTAGACACTCCTAAAAGAATCCTAAAATTTTTAGGACGAGTCCTAAAGGATTTTTAGGATTCCGTGCGGCGCCGTTACATGCAGTCCTAAAAATCGTCTTTTAGGATTCGTCCTAAAAGGTCTCCCGCGGCCTGTTCTCATATTCGTATACGCAGCCGCGTCGCCGATGTCCTCCGCGTCCTGGCTGGTGTCCGTGGTACACACTGCGGAGGCCTTGGGCGGGCGAGGAGGGGTGGGTGAAAAGCGCGGTCACCCCGAACTTGAAAAATTCAAATTCGATTTTTTGCGGACGCAAGGCGGCAGGGGCGGAGGACGGCCGGGCGACGCGTCTAACGTACAAAAGACGACGCTGGCGAAGCGTTCGGCGTGGGTATCCATCTTCCGAGTCCACGCGAGTTGCGAGCAGCGGGGGCAACTTCCGGCAAGGCGCATCGTCGCCACCATCACTGTGTGCTGTCTTGTGGACTCCGACGCACGCCATCTTCTGTTGCAGCGTACGTCAGCGGCCGCATCTACGGGTCCAGTGTGCGTGTCTCTCTTCACTTGGTTCAGCAGCGGGCGTATCTTCGGCGTTTGTGGCAGGCGTCACGCTCTTCGGGGAGGAAGATTCCCAGAGATGGATCTTCTCGTCAGCGGGCACGGTCTGCGCAAAGAGGAGATCGATGCGGTCGCGATGGCGGTCACTGCCGTCGTGGTGAACACGATGGGCGGCATGTCGTCGTCCTCAAGCGACATGCTGACACAGCTCCGAAAACGAAGAGCGCTGTTGCAGCGCATTGTCGAAGCGCCGGATTGCGTGGCAACGTGTGAGGTAGTCGTCCAGCTGTGCGCCGCGCTGTCATCTGGCGTTTTCCCGCGGCGGACCCCGCGTTGTGGATCAAACGACGGACTGGCAGGACATGGGAGGATCTCCGCCTCTGTGATGACGCGACGGACGAGTATTATCGGCAGAAGTTGCGCATGTCATTGGCCATGTTTAGGCAGATCGTTGCCGCGTGCGCCGCGTATGTGGAGAAGAAGGTGACGCACTACAGGATGCCTTTGCCAGTGGAGCAGGTGATCGCTTTCACGTTGTACAGGAGAGACGTACGAGAGCGGCACTTCGGCGCGATCGGCTGTACACACATCTGCATTGACAAGCCCGCCGGCGCACCTTCCGACAACTACTACGACCGCAAACAGAAGTTCTCCGTGCAGGCGCAGGTGGTGGTGGATTTGGATCTGCGGATCCTCGACGTCCACATCGGATACCCGGGAAGCGTGCACGATATACGCGTCCTGCACAATTCCCAGCTGTGGAGGCGTGCAGAAGTTGGCGAGCTGTTCGACGCACCTCCGGAGAATCTGCCTCACGGTGTCGTCACGCGAGGTTACCTGCTAGGCGACAACGGTTATCCAGTTGCCTGTCCATGGATCGTGCAGCCGTACGGAGGAATCGACCAACATCCTGACGACGAGCGCTTCGACACGCGACAGAAGGTGGCGCGGGCGTGTGTGGAGAGGGCATTTGGGCGACTGAAGTGCATGTGGCGTCTGTTTTTGCGCACCCACAAGACGAACCTGGAGACCTTGCCACAACAATTCGTGGCATTGCGCACTCTCCACAACATCCTCCTCGACGCGGGGATCGACTTCGATGAGAACCTTTTGTGGGAGGTGGATGAGAACGACATTTGTCGTAGAGTAGACTTGGGGATTGTGGGGAACGGCGCGGGCGGGCAGCGACAGAGCACGAACGTGGACGGGGACTTGTTGCGGGATGCACTTCGAGACCGCCTAGCTCTGATGTAGGACCGTGTGCACGGGAGGTGGAGGGGGGGTGGGT